TGGTACAACAGCAACAAGGTCTGTGAATCGGCTCAGGGGAGTGCGCCACCGATAGCCTCGTGAGGATGGGGATTCTGCTGTGGTTCTGTAGGACGCTTCCTTGGGGAAGCGCGGGGCAGCCTGCGTGGACTCTTCCGGACCACTGTGTGGGTGTGAGTGCCCACTATGGTGCATATGAAGCTATTTCAAAGTAAAACCTTAAGAATGCAGAAGAGAAAGGTCAGGATGAACATGGATCCACTGGGCTCCGCGGCTGCGCCGGGGGCTCTCAGGGCCTGCAGCAGGGTCTCAGGGGCCGGGAGGTCCGCACCCTAGCAGGTGAGGGGATGAGAGCCGACCCACCTGGTCGATGGAGTCCCACATGTACAGCTCCCCCTGCTGCTTGTGCTCGTCTTTCTTGTCCTCCATGTTCACATCCACGTCACCTCGGGGGCCCAGCTTCTTATGCTAAGAAAAAACGTACACACCACTCTTGAAACCAACTTTCAAGGTCTTCAAGCCAGCAAAAATATGCACCCATCGGCCTGCCCACAGCATCCTCCGGGCTTTGCGCTCCGCACCTTCCCATGGCTGCTGCCCTCCCTCTGCCCGGCTCCCCCGAAACCACACTGGCCCTGCGCTGGCCCTCCTCCTCAGAGCAGCTCTCCCTCCTCCGTGGGGCAGCTCAGCACACCTTCCCGCCCCTGCTGCCCGGCTCCCCCCACACCACACTGGCCCTCGCTGGCCCTCCTCCTCAGAGCAGTTCTCCCTCCTCTGTGGGGCAGCTGAGCACACCTTCCCGCCCCTGCTGCCCTGCGGCCTGGCCCTGCTTTAGCTGTTTGTCTTCTGTGTTCTGTGCAAGACCCTGAGAACAGGAAGCAGGGGCTTTGCTCTTCTCCTGCAGAGTGGCTGTGCCAGGGCAGCGCCCAGCAGACCGTGAGTGCTCAGTGGGCACACCGCGGCCCGGGAATGGAGCAGGAAGGACCCTGAGCAGCTCAGCAAGTTGCAGGTGTACTGACACGCACAGAAGTGTATGCCAGTATCTCGTGAGGTGCACATGACATGGAAACATACCCGCATGTGAGTTCCAGTCACACACACACACACACACACACACACACACACACACAGTCAGTTGTCGCTGGTAGACTCTGTATTTGTGAACTGCCCTACTCACTGAGATTTATCTCCAACTCCAAATCAAATTGCAAAGTACTTGGAGGTCACCCACAGACGTGTACAAAGCAGATACTAGAGTCACCCGAGGCCCACTGATGTTGAACAGGGTGACACTTTGCCTTTCTGGCTTAAGTTCTGTTTTTTGCAATAGAGCAGATTGAGCTCAGGACCCTGTGCCTGCCAGGCAAGTGCTTATTCTACTGAGCGATCTCCCTAGCCCCTTGCTTAAGTTCCTATAGAGCAAGTGAGTATCCTTTGTGGCATCACTCCTGCTGTGCTGTTTTTGTACTTTTGCTGGTGATTTCACCTTTTACACTAGCTCTGGATGCAGTGAGGAGGGATGTCCTGCATCGGGAGGGGAAGCCCTGCTGTGCCCGCTGGAGGCCGCTTCCTTCATGCCTAAGTTGCAGCTTGGGGCTGCCAGGTTCAGCTTAGCTGACCCACTAAGTAAGCTGCCTTTCCACAGAAGCACAAGCCAAACAAGGTCATGTGCTGACTGGCTGACAAAAACCCTGTGACCAGAGGCTCAGAAGTCCCTAACCCTGCACCTCCTGTTGGGGCAACAGCTCAGGTGCTTGCTAATCAGTGCAGTGGGTGACTCTCTGGACTCCAGCTCCACAGAGAAGGAGCAGGACCTGCTGTGTGTGCAGACACGCTAGTGCCTCTGCAACACTCACATGCAGTACGCAAAGGCCTGCTTCCCCGTGCAGCAGGGGAGACACCTGATCATAGCAGGGCTTGGGAAACCAAGAGAACTATGGGGAATTGGTGTTCTCAGGACAGAGAGACCGGACGTGCGGTGGTTTATAGGAGGTGTGGGTTTATTTCTTCCTCAGAGGAGGGCAGATGTTCTGGGACCTTTGAGCTCTGGCCCATGGATGATTCAGGGCCCTGGGGTCCTTGTGTCCTGCTGAGCCATCTCCCACAGCAGGGCTTTCAGCGGGGGCCCCGCAGGCCTCCAAGAACCTGTGGTTAGAATTCGGTGAGCAGCAATGTGCGCTGCAGTGGGAAAAGGCTTGCATCTTACCTTCACCACGCTGCATGTAAAACTTAATGTTTCCTTCCATTATGAATGTCAGCAGCAAGCCGCGCGGGCCTTGTCAGCAGAGGTGGGGTATTTTCCTATCGCATTTACAGTTGTTGCAGGTATCTCAAAATAACACTGCTCATCAGGACTCGGGAATAACGGAGGTTATTAGCTCTGCCTCTGCATCTTATTTAAGATGTTAATGAGGAAGCATGGTGATTAGCATATTCCAATTTTATTTAATCTTAATCATTGTATTTCAATATAATTACCTTCCCCATGACTGTATGCATTGCTAAGAAGGTGGCTATATGGGCCAGGGAGATAGCTCAGTAGAATAAGTGCCTGCCTGGCAAGCTCAGGGTCCTGAGTTCAATCCCTGGTACCACAAAAAAAAAAAAAAAAAAGAGGCGGCTAGAGTTTCCCAAGACTTCACAGCACAGAAATGGTGAGGTCTACCTGCTCTAGACAGCACTGTTCTTGTCTGGGGTAAAGCGGGACTTGGGCACCGCCGAGTTCATTTGCAAGGAGTTCTGGGGTTGTCTAGGGCCAATGATTTCCTGTAAGCAGGTGGACCCCGTTGCTCATGTTCCTCCCAGGTCCACTGCGAGAGCTTAGTGTCAGCACCTGCTATGGAGTCCACAGTCATTCGGAAAAGGACCCGAGGCTCAGGAAACATGGCCGCCTGCCTAGGGTCACACAGAACACTGAGCAGAGCAGGGCCACTGCCCCAAGCCCCCGAGCCTGCAGCCCCCTGCCCATCCTGCTCCATTCCCAGGCCGCTGTGTGCCCACTGAGCACTCACCCTCTGCTGGGCGCTGTCCTGGGACAGCCACTCTGCAGGAGAAGAGCAAAGTCGCTGCTTCCTGGGCTCAGGGTCTTGCACAGAAGACAGAAGACAAACAGGTAAAGCAGGGCAGGCCGCAGGGCAGCAGGGGTGGGAAGGTGTGCTCAGCTGCCCCACAGAGGAGGGAGAACTGCTCTGAGGAGGAGGGCCAGCGAGGGCCAGTGTGGTGTGGGGGGACCGGGCAGCAGGGGCGGGAAGGTGTGCTGAGCTGCCCCACAGAGGAGGGAGAGCTGCTCTGAGGAGGAGGGCCAGCGCAGGCCCAGTGTGGTGTCGCGGGAGCCGCACAGCAGGCATGGGAAGGTGCGGAGCACAAAGCCCGGGGGATGCTGCAGGTGCGGAAGTGTGTTTTTGCTGGTGTGTGAAAGTATACGGTAGACAGACAGACAGACAGACAGACAGACAGACAGACAGATATTTACACTTTCCCTCTACTATTTTAAAGAGGTGGTGACACCCTCTACACTCTTTTCTGAAGACCAAGACCTGTTCCCTGTGGGACCTCACCACCACCATGATCAAACCACAAATCACTGTCATTACTCCAGCATCACTGAAGACGCAGTCCCAGCCCGGATTGCCGCAGCTACCAGAGAACTGGGGCACAAAGCGAGCTTCTCCATCTAGAGTCTGTGAGGCTTGTGTGATGTATGTATTATAAAGGCAAAATTACTTTAAATGCATCTTGTCTCTACCACATATAGGAAACAAGATCGGGAGGTGGAAATGAAGGTAAATGTGAAAACATGTAATGTTTAAAACAAAATTACCTAGCCCTATTTTGTCAACAGGCAGGCCTGGCCCTGGTAGCCCAGCAGGTGTTCCCAGTCTGCACAGCCCAGAAAAACCCAGAGCTAAAGCGCTTCCAGGAAGTTCAGCGCCAAAACTCAGCTGACTGCTGAAGCTGAATCGATTGTTTCTGCTTATATCTTTTTTAGCGTAATATGAATATTCATCCAATTCACTGCAAAAATATTAACATATCTGATTAGGGGACTGGTGCCCTTAGGTGCCCGATTATTCCTGACCCCTTTCAAGCAGGAAGAACTCCTCCAGCTGGAATAGGCCCAGGGGGTCTGCATAGGTTCAATGCAAGCACCTGCCCCCTGGGCACCAGAGCAAACTCTGAGAGAGAAGGCAGCCATGGTCAGGTGCTGACTGCCCCAAGAGCCTGTGTGTCAGACTTGGTCCCCAGGGCAGTGGCCTCAGGAGGACATGGGGCTGTCAGGAGTGCCTTCTAGTGGAGCTATGTCAGTGGTTTTGCTCCACCATGATATAAGGCTCCAAACAAGGAGGCCCATCGGTCACAGCCTGGCACCTCCAACACCATGAGCCCGGGTGAAGTCCTCCCTGCATAAGTCCATGGCCTTGGGTATTTTGTTACAGTTACAGAACGCTGACACACCTGAGCAGCAGTTTCACTGTCTGTTAACAACAGCCCTTCAGCTCGTAGACACCCGGAAGAGTCAGCTACATGGGGAAGATATGGAAACAGAGGCCTGTGGAAGCCACTTTGTCCGGTTACTTTCTCTCATTGCCAGGATAAAATACCTGACACCCAAAATTAAGGAAGGAAAGGTTTATTTAGCTCACAGTGTGTGCAGGTTTCAGTCCATATTCAGCTGGCTCCAAGGCAGAGCGGCACGTGGCAGGGGGCAGCAGTTCATGTTGGTGGAAAACAGCAAGAGCAAAAAGAAGTAGCAGCAACAGTGGCAACAGGGAGCACGCCTGTCTCCCTTATGGTGCTTTCAGGCTGGCGGCCCCAGGCTGGGTGTAGCGCTCACAGCACTGGATCATGAATTAATCACAAATTCTAGGGCTGGGGGATAGCTCAGCGGCATAAATGCCTGTCTGGCAAGCGCAAGATGCTGAGTTTGATCCATGGTGGAAAAAAAAAAAAAATCACAAACTCTAGAAGTCCACCCCATCACTGCATGAGGCTTTGGGGTGACAACTAGTCACAAACCATAACAACCTTCCTGCCAAGCAGGAAAAGCAGTTCACATCTTCACAACCTCAGTGCAACACCTCCTCCCAGCTCAAGGAATATACATCATAAGTGTACTAAAAATAATGATTTTATGTGCTGCGCACTTACCATCTACCGGCCACCCTCGGCCTGGTCAGCAGCAGGTCGCCCAGCACCTCCTTGAACACCCTGGCCATGTGCCGCTGCTGCTCCACGCTGCAGTGCTCCTCGATGGACAGGATCACAGGGAAGCTGTGGCGGAAGGGCGAGGCTGGGGTCCGGCTGGCGCTGTCCCCGTGGCCTGGCTGACTGGGAGATGCCCAGGCTTTGGCACAGCCCTGGTGGGCTCGTGGTCGTGCATCTATCCCGGAGGCCCACGCCCCGGGCTCGGCTCCCACTCCGCATCTACCAGGCACAGTGCTAAGCACTCAGAACAAGTCAGCACAATGAGACTTCACAGCTGCGCTGGTAATTGACAGAGTCGGGTTCAAGCTCAGCGAGAGCGAGCCCAGAACCCTTTCTGCTGGGTTCTACCAGCCCTGCTTAAAGGTCGCTGTCACTCCACAGAGGCCAGAGGGCCTCTTGCCAGCCCTTGGCAATGACTCTGGATACGACCGAGTCCAGGGCTCTAGTGTTTGGGGAGGCCGGGAGTGACGTGTGTCTGTCCATCCATCCAACCCTAGCTGCTCTCCCCTTAAGCCACCTGGAATTCAGCCCACTGACCTCGAGGTGACGAAGGCGTGGTCTCTGATGGCCTGCACCACCTCGTCGAACTTGGTCTTGGTGGTCCGCGTCCAGCCATGGTAGATGATCAGCTTTCCGTCAGGCCCGTCCCAGCAGTCCAGCATGAGAAACGCAGCAGCCTCAGCCCCAGCAGGCCTCAGGGCCCAGGGTTTCAGGGTGGCTCAGACCACAACAGGCCGCACTGACGCGCGTTGGAGGGACCTGGCCGATCCTCTCCTTCCCTAATGTTTATCCCGAAGTACCTGACCCCGCAAGGCACCTGCCTCCCACACAGAAGCTTCGGTCCCAACGGTGACAGCGCACTGGGCCCCACCACCAACTGAAGGACCAGAGCGCTGCCTGGAGCTCGGGGTCCAGGCTGCGAATTTACCACCCCAACTTCAGGCCCCTTCGTAGAAAAGTGAGAAGCCTGCGTGACCTGGGCGGGCCATGTCTTGTTCCTGGGAGCAGCCTCCTGGGGCCCGGGGTCCCCGCTTCCCGCCGTGCCATGGCCCCACTGCCCACCCAAGGTCCAGCGCAGCCCTCCCGCCCCCCTGGGTTCTCTGGCTCAGGGCTCCTCTGGCCCCGGTGGCAGGCGCCCCCTAGTGGAGAATTCCATAACCGGACTCTGGAAATGGCAGAGGAGAAGGCCAGGCTGGAGATCCAAGATCCGAGAAACCTGCCCTGGCAGCGACTCCCGCCAAGGGAAGAGCAGAAGCTAAGGCTCGGAGGACCGGGCCCGAGTGAAGCGCCGCGCTGTCCGGACGGGAGCCCAGCACGCACCTCGTCCACAAACAGGAAGGGCTCGGCGGTCTCCCGCATGGTGTCGTCGATGAACTTCGTCATGCGCTCCCGGACCTTGTTCAGATCCTGAGCCCACAGCTCCTGAAACAGACCGAGGACAGCAATCACGCAGAAGCTCGGACAGCATTCTTCCCCGCCCTGCGTCCATCCGGCGGCCGTGACAGACGGAGCTGGCAGCTAATCCTGAATTCACCGGGCACCAGCGCCGTGCTGGAGGCCTCGTCCTGGGCGTCAGCGAACGCTCGCTGCCAGGTCCAGAGCCTGAGCACCTCAGGCTGCGGGGGCCGCAGGGTGGTCGTGTGCTTCACGCG